ATAATGCTCAAACTTTAGCAGCACTCCGCCGCAAGAGGAATAGAATAATTTAGAACAAGAAACAATTAGACTCTTTATTAACAATATGCCTAAACGAATAATACACAAAATAATACACAAATTAATAAATGCGAGAGGAGGCAATACACATTACTAAGTGTGCTCGCGAGCGCGCGCGCACACCTCCCCCCACACATATACACACTTGCGCGCGGGCGCGCGCACGCACACACACGGGATCAAATTCCTGCCACGTACACGCCGTTGATCCTGAGTATAACGTCGAGAGCAGGACACCTGCATAAGTACACGCACTTACAGTGATGAGATTAAAAAGAATTTAATTTCTAAGAATGTTTAAGATTTAAAGTTTTCTTTTTATTTTTTTTTATAAAGTTTTCTACAATAATTTGTTTATGAGTTATATTGAGTAGACAAAAAAAAATAGCCCGTTTTGTAACACTTTTTTTAAAACACTATAACTTTGTCAAAAAAAATTGTAGAAAAATGATCAAAAAATGGATTTGTTAGGAAATCAGTGAGCTTGAAAACTTATAAATTTTTATGCCAGACAGCCGACTTTCCTGAGCAGCGCAATAGTTTAAAAAAAAAGAATTTTTTCTTATTTTTCTAAGCTTGATTTCAACGTCCGCCATTTTATAAAGCATTTCTAAAACTCAATTTTGATTTTCTTAGTTATCAAAGGGAATGTTTAAGCTTTATTTTGAGATTAGATTTATTTCAATACAATAATTTTTCATAAAGTTACCGCTATTAAAAGATACTAAAAATTTGAGCTAAAATTTAGGTGCCCGGTTTTTTTGCGGGTGAGTATATAAAAAATATACGTTCTTATTTTTTTAAATTATTTTTTCTTTTTTTTTCTTTTTATGATTTTTTTGCACAGATACTTATGAACAGGAATTTTAGAGGAAAAATATATATAGACATACATATTTTACCTATATATAATTATACAAAATGGAATATGTTCATAAATGTTTTTTCTTTAAAAATCCTGTTTATATATACAATATAATAATAATAAGAAATAAAAAATAATAAAATATATATGTTGCAGCCTTTTTGTATAATCAGCCTTTTTGCAAAAAGGCTAGCCTCTTTGCAAAAAGACGTCTTTTTGTATAACGCCTTCAAAAATGGTTTGGGTTAAGTTAGTTTGAAACGAGGTGGAGCGCCCCCCCCCCCGTAAGGGGGGCTCAACATACTGCCACCACGCGTGTACTTTACAACGCAAAGCCAATGATCTACATGGGTTTGCAGTGAATGTTTGCAATAAATGACCTAACCCAAACCATATATTTCATGGCTTTATCCAAAAAGGCGTCTTTTTGCAAAAAAGCTGATTATACAAAAAGGCTGCGACACATATATATATATTTTTTTTTCTGAAAAATTTTTTAATATGATAGCGGCGATTTAACGTTTATCTATAGGTTTTTCTTTTTTTCTACGAAAGGCTTTAATAGTTATTATTGTATCATATATCAAGATCTATAATTTAGTTTCTTTTACTATGTAATTTAAAATTATAAGAACATTCGTAAATTATTATTATATAAAATTAAACAAAACAAAATATTAATTAGATACAGAACTTACTTTGGGAGCTGTATGAAAAATTTAAAGTGAACCATCTTTTGTGGAAATAATTAAAATTATAAAGGATTGTTGGAATTGTTAAACATAAGACAGAAATAAATACGTTATTTCCACATGTTCCAGGTCGATTTCGGTGATGTTTTCATACCACTTGACTTGAAGGTACCGAAATTGCAAGTACTTCCTGAATTTTCGAGATTGGCGCACGGCCTCCGCAGCGGCAACATCAGTATTCTAGACAGCAAAACGATCTACATTCCAAATTTGCATTACGACGGTGGCGGACCGGACGCTTACTTCTGGGTAGGCAATGGCTCCGAACCTAGCCATTTTGGTATCAAGGTTCCCAATGAAATGGGCAGGTCAGTTGATACACAAAGTCACAAACAGTGTAAAACAATTAATGATTTAATTTTTATAAATACTTATTACTTTTTTTATAAAAAATCTAAAATTATACAAATAATTATACAAGGAGTAAATAAATATCAAAAATAAATTTATTTAAAAACTGCAAGTTTTTTTAAATATATTTTAAAAGTTTATTTTAACTTTTTAATAGGTTTTATATAATTATTTTTAATAACGTTTTTTTTTTAAGTATATGCTTTAAGGAGGCATATACATCTAGACACGTTAAAACAAAGTTTAACTTTGCGAATTTTTTACGAAAAAACGAAAAGAGATAGAGAGGTTTGTTTCATTAAAAATATCATATTTTTTTCTTTTTAAATGTATATTTTATTAAAAAATTATTTAAAAAATGGCTTTGCTATTTAACTTTTTCATAGTCGTATTTTGAAAACGGCTTTTGCAGTCACCACTGCTGTTTTTACAGGACTCATCTGAAAGCAAAATGCAACGAGTTATATAAAGTTAAACATAAATCTAGTTCCCTACGAAGCCGTTTTTCAAAATATTGCATTTGAACAATGTGACAACTGGTCAAAGTCAACGTTACGATTTATCACTTTAAATCTTGCTGGTTTTTTGGCTGCGAAAAAAACGAAGCATTGTAAAAAAAATCCTATGTAAAGAACTAGTTTTTAATGTCTAGAAAAAGCATGTAAAATTGCAAATTAATCGGTCAAACCATTTTCGAGATATAGTGGTCACGCGTTTTGAAAACCACGTTTCGAGAAAAACGCATTTAAAGTTTTACATTCAGATTACACTACACTAATATTAAAAATTTTATTTACATTGAATCAATGCTTCTCCAGAACTATAAAGCAAACTCTCTACTGAAGTGGATGCTTTCAAAAAATCGCTAATTTACGATCCGGTCGCAGACATGACGCAACAGAGATGGATGTTTGACGCGCTTAGCGTGCTCGAACCTACTCGACTATAATTTCGTGTAACTTTTTCATCTTTCGTCGGATCAACTTAAAACTTTACAAAAACATTCTTAAGACATCATACTTTAAAAATATGTATTAAAAAAAATCTTTTTTTTACCTCTCTAGGTGTATATGCTCCCTTAAGAAATTATCTTAGAGTTGTCTTAGAAAACACAATGTTTTAAACGTTCTAGACTTTATAATACTTTAAAAAAACAAATTATTTTTTAGAAGAAAAAATCGATTTTTTAAATTGTTTTTTAAATATTTATATATAATATTTCTAAATATCTGATTCTTAAAAAGAATTTTACTTATAGCCCTGATTTTGCTAATTAACGCTAACATTTATTTTAAAAAAGCTTTATTGTAAAGCTTTTTAAACACGTTTTCTCCAATACATTTTCATCCAATACATCAAGATATGCACGATAATTCAGCCATATTTTTTGTAGTTTTTAATGAAAATTTAATAAATATTTTTCATACTAATTTCTATAGTTTCTCGAATTATTTTAAAAATTTTACTTTTATAAAGTAAAAAAATAGATTTTGATAAAAAAATAATTCTTTTTTAAAATGACCTAAAAAATACAGTTGTTTAAAAATAAGAAATCTGGTTTAATCGAGAGATCATAACTATAATGCTATTTTATAATAAGAAACATTTTTTATTCAGATTTAGACCATTGTATGAATTTAAATCGTGCGAACCATTTGTAAGTTACAAGAAAAACAACAATGGATGCATTATTTCCGCACAAAAAATAAAAATAAATTTTTTTAATTGAACGTAACTGTGTTATATAATTAATTGCATACGTATATAAAATTTAAAGAAATTTATTTAGTAGATTTGTTTAGTATTATAAATTTTTTAAAATAAATTAATACTGTCGGTTTTTGGACTTAAAAAGGTAATTTACTCCTTTAATTTAAACCATTTCATTCAATTTACTGAGACGATTATTAATCTCATATAATTCATCGACAGTTTGGCACCATTAAGAGGATACCAAGGAGAGGACATTGAGATCGTCTTGCCAGGGAACTTGACGGTGTACGACATCAACTGGCTCGCAGTATGGTGCGTTGAATACGCACACAATTTCGGACATGTTCTAATTCCAAAGGACCTCGACGTACCTCCGGCGCTCGGCCAGACGAAAATTACGGTAAACCAAAATGAGTTCTCCAATCCGCCGACCTAATATGCCTTAAACTTTCGTGCCTTACGTACCCTCATTAACGTTCACTGTGAAATGATAATATACGCGGCTCTGCTCTTTGATATACACGATGAAAAGCTTCGCTATAATAGAGACGAATTGAATGCACTATGAAGAGGGACTTTTGCGTCTTTATATAATAAAATACATACAGTCGCTAATATTTTAGGTTCAATGAAAATCGCGCGAGCAAGATTTAATTACTTCAGTTATTTTAAGCAATAATATCTTCTGGAAGCTAAATAAAAGCAAGGATGTAGATTTCATCTTGAGAAATTCTTAATCCTACAACTCTCTCTGAGATATATAACGAAACCATTATCACGCTTGATCGCATAAATTTAATCATTGTATTCTTCTTAATAACGTTGCTATTGATTTTCAAATGGAACAGCCGCCGTGGTGGTACAATCCAGTAAGTACAACGCGATCGATGCACGATTTTGCCGATAAGGATGATAATCAATAATCTCTCCGTAGTGCAGTTACAGGTCACAGGATTGCGAACTTTTCTTCTTTCAGACGAGCAGCACACCGACGCCTAAGCAGGTAACCAATTGCAAGGAAATGCTCGATGGCCGTGTTCAAGTGCAATGGCAGCTACAGGGCGAGGACGTGCGGATAAAGATTTCAGGACGCATCAAGGAAGATCAGTATGTGGCGTTCGGGTTGTCGGGTCGGGATGGCAAGGCCGAGATGATCGGCGGCGACGTCGTCGTGATCGGATACAATAATAAAACCGGCAAGTTCATCGCCGAGGATTACTACATGACGGACATAGCTCAGTGTGATGGCAAGAGGGGCGTATGCCCGGATCAGAGGATCGGTGGAAGGAACGATGCGATACTTGTGCACGGGGAAAGGAAGAATGGCATAACAACGGGTACGTTTTTATTTTAAACGTTATAAATAACGATAGTGATGGAAGAAATAATACAATAACTGCTGCGTTCATTTCCTTTGGTAATTTTACTTTTCACGCGACTTAAACAATGTTGATCTTACATAGAAAATGCAGTTACTAGTTATACAGTTAGTTAAATTTACTAGTTATATAACAAAAATTTATGAATAATTTTTGATTGAATAATTCAATTATATCCAACCAGAACAACAGATTACAATAATAATGTCAAAATGATGTTAAAATGAATTGTGACCGAACAAAAAATAATTTTTAGTAATCATTTTGGAGCCATTTTGATGACTTTTTATTTTGTTTAGATATTTAATAGATAAATAAAAATAAAAATGACGTAAATAAATAGAAATTTTATAGTTAAAATTTATTTAAATGCTACTTGCGATTTTTAATGTGAGAAATAAAAATTATTTCCGAAATGTATTTGCGTCAATTTGAGTATTTATTATACATTAAATTAACTGAAATACGAAACAAGAATTATCATTAATATGATGCCATTTATTTCAATTGCAGTTACATACACACGTCCTCTAAGGACTAACGAGCCAGAGAAGGACAGGATGATTCCGGAAAGGGAAACGAGTGTGATCGCCGCCATTGGATCTCTCAATGCTCGGGGCGAAGCCAATGCTCATGAGAGATTCGATAAGACCACCGAGGATATTCGTATCGATTTTACGTCGAGGAATGTTCACGAATGTACAAATTCCCTGTACAATATTCCGGATGAGCCCGATATTGAACCCTGGCCGCCGGCTGTTATCGACGATAAGAATATTTTCCACGCAAAAATTGGGCCGACTGGTGCTCAGAGAGGATACTCACGAATCACAGGTATTAACATGTTATGACCGAATTACACATCTAACTTATTCTTATTTATTAAGTAAAGCTTTATATTAAATGTTTGCAATTCCAGTACAAAAAATTTATACTTGTTTTATAATTTGGAATTTGGAATTACTTAATTAAAATCTAATTATAAAAGATAGTATTATTATTATTATTATTATTACTATAGAAATAGTATCTGTTGTAGTGATAAATTTGCAAATGTATATTTTATTTTATCATTGTGTGGTACAAAACAAAACAATGTTAAATAATACTAACAATGTGATAATCTTGAACGGTAATAATTTTTTTTATCTTTAAAGTGATATAGTATATTTTAAGGCCAAGGATTGATCAGTGATCCTTATTGCAATTTAGGTACACCCTCTTGGGGCATCGCATGGTATATCAACGATTTGTTGATTCCGGAGATCACCGTCGAGCGAGGAGAAACTTATACCTTCATCGTGGAGGGTGGAAACGATCCTGCCAATCCCACTAAGTGAGTCGTATTCTTACTTGCGATATAATACCGTTGACAGAGCATATACACAATGCTCGAGATTATAAATCGCTACATATATAATATTTCCAGTATGACGTTGTGAAACATATTATTGTGTGTGAAACGTTCATATACCTTTTTTGATATAGGTATCATCCGTTCTACATAACCGACAGTCCGATAGGTGGTATCGGGCAAGAGCAAGATAGAGAGAAACCACGAAGGGAAGAAAAGATATTTGCTGGCGCAGAGTACGATTCCAAAGGATATCTTTACCCGACCGCAGCCGGTCGTTATTGCGAATGGGTCCGCACCACGGTGGATGACGCGAATAATTACGAGACGTTTGAGAGCTTCTTCCAAACGCTTGAACTCAAATGTGACAAAGGCGAGCCCGCCAAGCTCGAATGGACTGTGAAAGAGGACACGCCGGACTTAGTCTACTATCAGGTATACTAATATTTACAGGACTTATGAGGGAAAGACAAAAGTCGAATAACTAGTTGCGAATATATATTGTTTTCACAGCTTTATTAAAATTTTTATTAGATTTTCCGAGAAGATTTTAATATCAAACTTTATGCAACTTTTTCTTATTTAGTGTTTCAGGCACGCTCATCTGGGCTGGAAGATCAACGTCGTCGACCCAGGACGATTGCAGAGAAATATTAGCGGTGTCAGTCAAGTTTTGCCTACGTTTATGACGTTCGTGGCGTCCATCATCGCACTCCTTTTATTCTCGAGATGAATCATTGCGTTTTCTCCTGTCAACGTGGAACAAATAATAGAAGACAAAGATGATGATGAATTCTGATCGCTATAAGATGATTACGAAAGCTACAACAATGTACACACGATTGTTAAATCGACGAAACACATACAAGGTTGTAAGAAAGTATTTAGTACGTAAGATCTACTCATAAGGTAAAAGATTAGCAAAATATTTTTAAGACCTATCAGATTCAATATTTCATATTATATACATATGAGATATATATTATATATAATATATACATATACATATACACACAGGTACACGCATACATATATACATGTATGAACATGAACGCAAAATTTCCATACTCTTTGACAATATTAAAGTCGAGCTGACAATAATGATTAGAAATGAGTAACCAAATTTTGACAATAATCGTGATCAGGACTGAATAACCGATGAAATTCTGACAATAATTATAATCAGAACTGATTGTGAGTAATTAATGAAATTTTTGACAATAACGAACGATTGTTCATTATTAGGGGAAGGATCCATCAAAATGCGGGAACGAGCTGATTAGCACGTAACTATAGATATAAATTTGATGCGGAGGAAAATGGAGGTGCATCAGCATGTACAATGTAAATTTTGCACAAAACTATAGTAGATCTTAATGTAATTTTAAATCGACGCTAATACGTAAGAAATACATTTATAAATGCTGTCGACTTGACAATAATACGTAGATTAGTCAATCGAGAGAAAGAAAGAGAGAGAGAGAGAGAGAGAGAGAAAAAGAGAAAGAGAAAGAGAGAAAGATAAGAGAGATAACGAAATGCGAATTATGTACAAGAAAGTAAAGAAAAAGTAATACTTAAGGGTGATGTGCAAGTTACAAACTATCCCCTATACGTGTAACAATGCTATAATATGTATATACTATAGAGTGGACCTTCCTAAAACGGAATGAAAGTATAAAATGTGCCTTGGGTACAGATAATAAATGTCTTTAATTACAAGGATTAGGACCCACTCGGCAAAAGGACACCGTCTAGTACTTTGGAACTGGTCTCTTGTGCGCGAAGCGTGTCGCATGAGTAAAGCTACGGATATTTTATAGAAAAAAAATATTATAGAGAAGAAACTATTTCAAAAACTATTTCTTCAATTATTCAAATACAATTTTAATTACGTTTACTATATGTTTCATATCGACGTAACTGTAATTGTTAAGCAATGTATTCGTGTGTATTTCGCGAATACCAAGAATATATCTCGCTCGCAAGTATATAATAAAAGAAAGAAACATAAAATTATTTAAAAAAAAAGATATCAAAAGACGGCCTGCGGCAGACATTTCATATAATAAATAACATATCGCAAAACATACAAGGGATATGTAAGACGTGCAACCAAGAGAAATCAGCAGAATACATAATCAACTTAGAGTAGTGAATTTAGTGTAACGTCTCTCTTGTAAAATGTCAAGATTTTCCTTTGACTACTGTATAAGTATGGACTGATAGTAATTAACTTCATACGTGGCGTGTCGCCAAGCTGGAAGATGTAGACTCTACCCCTGTCAGTAATTTTCTGCGGGGAGGGGAAAGGCTTCTGTGAAATCAGCGTGTTTACGACGTGTAGGAAAGGTACTGAGTTCGTTTTTGATTTCTTTCGATTTGAGATTTTTTCCGGCTCCCTATCAATTTTCAACATAACATTTGACACATTTTGATATATTTGACATTTTTTTACTGACTGCGGCGAAGCCTAAAAATCGAAGTTCGATAACTCAATCAACTTTAGCTCGGCGACACTGGGCATATGTCTTTTACATAGTAAAAGTGGGGGGACTAGCTACCAATTCATATTTATATAGTCAAAGAGTTTTTCAATGTGTGTCCAGCTCCTAAGTGCCGGGGTGTCCACGAAATTCACAGCAGCAAATTCTTTGCGATTTAACCGCTTAACGCACGAAGACCAGTCTGTATTTAATTATATGCGTATATGCATAACACAAGTGTCATACATATACCGAACAGAAAAAACTCTCTGAAAACTTACAATATTTAACTTTAAAAGCGAGGCGTTAAAAAGAGAAAGGAGAAGCATTAAATATAGGGATGCTAATTACCGTGTAAGTAAATAAATGACAATAAGAATCGTTTGATCGGTTTGTGTCACTGAATTTTCGATATGACAATACTTAAGAGCAATTCCGAGATTAATAACGAGATCTTTTTGCTCGAGACGTAGGCTATGTCGCTATATTTTTCATCTGTTTATTCTTTTTTTCTTTTTCTAAGGAAAACCGTTTGAAAGTAACAGATTCTAGTTTGTAAGCGGATAAAACTCCTACTTCTGTGAATGACAATAATAAATTATCAACTTGCTGGATCTACAATAGAAGCGGGCTGCTCCCGGAAAAGGCCGCTTTTCCATTTTTAGATCACAATTATAATCGAAACTCGCAAATTTACAATAACGAATTACATGTGTACGAATCAATCATTCGCCCATATTAAATGTACGAGACAAATTATAAGCTGTGTATTATTCTGCAATAAAATATAAGTCGTAAGTCGCGTAGGTAAAGTGTTCCATTCATGATGTATATGTACAGATGATGCAGATATATAGACAATAACGTATAGATAAATATATCGTTCGTAGTGTGAGTACAAATAAAATTTCATTATAATTTCAATTAATTAACGAAGTTAAATTGAACATGTAAATAAGTTTGTCTTAGTTCAAGTCGTTGAAGTTTAAGTAATTGAAGGATTTGTTACAACAGTGGACTAATTCATTCACTGTTTTGTAATAATGGAGAAAATAAACTGTAAAGTTAAAGTGATGAACTTTAATGTTCATTTTCTTCATTTTTATAAAATATTATAAAATGTAGTTAGCCTACTGTTGCAGCAAACCCTCCAATTTATTATCTTCTCTGTCGTGCGTTTGTGCATGTTTCTCGAAATCGTTATTTGCCGAAATTAATTAATTTCGCGAAATTACGTAAAGTGAAAAGAAATACTTGTATATGTTTTTGCATTAATCAATAATTTCTGTGACACATTTCCGCGAGCCGAGCTTCAAGTTGCTCGCGTTTACTTACTTTATGTTACGTTTTTTAAGTTTGGTCGGCGCATATTTCTATTTTTCCAGGAGCAGCCTGACGACGTCCCAAGTTGTTAGTTCATAAGAGACAAATAATAGCTTAGGTCCTAAGGGAACTTTTCGGCTAATATTACTGTACATTAATACGTATGAAAAAAGAGGATAAATGAAAAACGTATTTGTGGAAAAAAATGCCTCCGGAGACTAAATTCAAAATATTAGTCGTCCGGCACAACATGCGAGCGGCTACCGTCAATGTTGTACAGTTTCAAACGTGATTTCGAATTGTTAGTGGTACTTAGCGTGTAATATATTTACAACTCTAGATCTATCTTTGAATTAATATTATTAAAACGGTCTACTTGTAAGCTTCCATCCATGCACGGTTATTATGTAAGACACGTGGAGCGACAGAGATATAGAATGCGGTAAGATAGAATGAAACTCTTATCGCGTTACCGTGTACGAATGCAATTTTCCATAAGCAGCGGATTCCGCGATGAGAAGTAGCTATATCACATTAACGATAGGTTTTACAAGAATTTTGGAATAACGTCTTAGCGCATCTTCCGTTGCGTTTTAATTGCAATATGCCTTTATAGATTTTATACGTTTTTCGAAGTCTGTATTTACGCGTGAAATCTGTGTTACAAACAGTGTCACTATTTAACTCTCTAAAAATGCTCTGTATAATTATTTTATAATACTTATTATATAAAAGCGTTGATATAGTTCCGATTAGCAATTACCAAGAAGTTTTTGCAATACTTTATCTCTATACATCATATATATTTTACCGTAAATTTTAGAAAAGAAAAGTTCTGATTAATGTAAACTAATTGCAAGTATTAGTATTGTTGCTTTTACTTTATATTTTCATCGCCATTCATTGTATATACTCGTTACTTTAGTTTTTAATGTAACGCAAAAATAACACGATATTGCAAAAGCTTCTCTTTCTTATTCTCGTTATATTTCTTTTTTATTCGCGCGAATTATTGTATATGTTTTTTCAAAACTGTACAACTAGCTTTGTATGCCCAGACTAATATTTCGGACAATATACTGTAAAAACAATCGTTTAAATACGAACGGTCTTGTAACCTCTTGGTAAGGGGAGTAATTAGCTGTAAGAGTTCGAGATAAAAATTATTTTAAAGTTTGTATTAAGCAAGGAACGAAGCATTGTTAATATGTGCGGAACGACAGAATCATATAACGTTTAATACTTGTGCAAGTATTGCGTTCCGCAAAAGCCTCATTTTGTGGTTTATTAATCGCAATTTAGGAACGGTTGCAACAACATCAATGCTAATTTTATATTTTCCTTTCCATATTATTTACAGAGCTGTTTCTCAGAAAAATACATTTTAGTTATAATTAATTCAATAATGAGAAAATAATCAGAAAAGATTTATGAAATTTCATCGAATTATGCTTTTCTAATTTTCGAAAAATTAGAAATTTTTTAGTTTCACAACTTTAAAATTTAAAAATAAATCTTAGCATGTTGTTAACTTTACAGGATTAGATATTTAATTTAAAAGACTATTTTAATGTTTATTGATTTTTATTTCAGTTATTCATTTTTAGATCATTTTTTTTTACAACGTTGTCAATTGAAATTGTGCAAATTAAACCATATGTTATATCTATTTGATTATTTTTTCTTTGCTATCTTTGAATATATTAATGTCTTATTAATGAAAAAAGCTCTGCTAAAAAAAATTTTCGTTAAATATTTCATAACATTTTTAAGAAAGAATATTTTATATTTTAAATTTACAAAACATTTCTGAAAAAAAACCTTAAACTTTTTCAGATTTCTATTTTTTTCCGAAAATTATAGAATAAAAAATCTCTATTTCAGAATTTACATAGAATTCTAGAAAGATATAGACTTTCTCAGCACTTCTGAAAAGTGTTTTAAATAAAAAATTTGAGAATGTTCTAACAAATTAGAAAATAGAAATATAAAGATTTGTAAGAAAAATTTTCATTTATAGGAAAAAGTTTAATAAACGCCAATTGATGTTGATGTATCCGATCCCTAGAAGGAATAAGAAAATTTTCGCAAAAATTGGTGATCTAATTGGTCATCATTGGAAAAATCTCATAGGAAGAACACTCATTTTTAAACACTTTTTAAATACATCGTTCTGCATACGAAAAGCGCACACGTTTCGTATCGAAAGGATAGAATATTACATGTAGTGAATGAAAGTATTAACCGGCGAACGAAATTTGATCGTCTTGCAGGACTAGCGCGCGCGTGTCGAACTGTATCCGAGGAACGTTGAAATTGTCAACCCTTTCATTTCTCTTCAGCATTTACATGTTAGGCTAGCTTAACTAACAACCAACTCCACTAATCGTCTACTCGTTATGGCGGACACTCTATCCAAGATGTTCGTTTATCTCCTGTTTCAAGCAAATGCATGTACTATACGAGTTAAATCTGGTAAAAATATTTGCAAGAATGCCGAAAATTTCTGGCATGATACTCTCTTTTTATCGTGAGCCACATAAATAATAAATAATACCGTGCTGAAAGAAATAGGAAATAAGGATCTTTTCGAGCGCTTCTTGAATCTATCAAATGTATCATCATTCCTTTAATTAATTTCAAGTGAATATGTACGCAAATAACGCGAATGGTTGAAAGATGTCTAAAGGCGTCCAATTTAAAGAAAAGAAGTCAAATTTAAATGCTCAAACATATTTTAGTCGTACTTCATATGTGTAACGTAACATTTTTGAAATCTTCTGAGATCTTGTCTTTCAGCGCGGTCAAGATTCAAATATTTTTTGTGCTTCGAGCTTCCAACTCATGTATTTGAAGCGAAAAAATTTATGATGGTTTTCTCATATATGCATTAGAGAAAGTTATTCTAAATGATATCTGTAGCTCTCTTCATTCATTCTAAAGTTTGCCTAGAGATTATTAAGATATCAATGCTCATAGTTTCATCGTCGCGAGCACACGTAAAATACTTAATGACAAGTCAATCCTTACTGTTTAAATCGTAATTTGACATATCTCGTAAGATAAAAGGAAAAAAAAAGAAAGTCGGTCAACGTCAATCGCGGATCGCGCGAGCGTCGTTAAAATCTTGATTGTTTAGTAGATAGAGAACTTTGTCGAAAATGTTAATTTTCTTTATATAGTCTATATGTAATGTACTACCGTATAAATGTCTCTCTCAGTTGACCTGTACCGTTATTTAGAAGGCGTACGCGTTCCGATCATCAAAATCAAAGCCACGCGTTCGAATGAAGGGAAATTTTGAAAAGAAGACTGCTCCCTGTTCTTCGACAGAAAAAAAAACCATCGTTCTCTTTGACAATAAAATAGAATACGCAATTAATTATATCACTATTGCTCTTCAAATGGCATTTGTTCGGATTTCAATAGAGTGCATCATTGTCCATTTTCAGACATTCTTATTATTTTTGCATTTCGTACGAGCACGCGTATTTGTACGAGTATACGTTGCCACGCGCGAATTTTATGCGCATATTATGCGATCTGATTAAGATACGTGATTAAAGTGTCTGTCAACTGTAAAATTGAGTTCTAAGTGTCGTTCTAAGTGGCGAGAAATGTGTCTCAGGATGTTCTGCTCTTTTACGGACTTAATGAGTTTCATTGCACGTTTCACACATTAATCTTAATGGCTTTGATAGCGCCACATTTATTAATATAATTGGGTAAAAGGAGCATATCTAAGTAATCACGAGGTATATGATATATTATGATTACGAATTATTGAACATTGTATCAAATTTTATATTCACTTCTTGTGGTTGACAATAAACTGGTTTTATAAAAAAAAAAAAAAAAAGAAAAAAAAGAACCATGAAGATTGTCTCATTTAATACGACGGCTAGAAAAGCCAGCAAGTGTCTGACCAATATAAATAATATGTCACTGTAAACAACAAATACGGTCTACACAGTAATATATTATTATACATTTAAACTTTATTTCGGATATCCCCAAGGATCTTTCTTTTGGTCCATTAAAACGAGAGAAGATTCACAAATCTTTTTGAAGACCTCACGTAATCTTCCCTTTGAAAATACCTATAAAGACAATGATATGTTAATACAAATGTTTCTTGTAAAATTAACATTTAAATGTTATAATAGTTATTTTGCTGCTCATACATACTTTGTACAACTGATGTTGCTCAGAGGCAAGTACGTCAGCCAGTTGAATGCAGCCATCGTGCTCGTTCATTTCGGACATAACTGAATGTAGCAAAAGTGTGACTTTAGGGATACAAAGCTCTCGCAATTTCTCCAACTGATGTTCCCTAAGTTCATCCTCGGGCGTGCACGGCTCCTCGTTACTACCCTTCGAATCGACGAGCCAACCGCCGTCAGGGAATAATAAAACATTAAACAATAATTGTTTTACAGCCTGAAAAAGGAACAAATTTAGCTTTGTATCTCTCTTCTCCCAATTCGGTTTCGCGTTCACATTTTTTGTGTACCTTTGTATGATGCTGCATCGTAGACTTCCATCTTTCGAATTCTAAATTATACTGTGTCTTTCTATGATCGTACGCAACCTTTTCCGTAAAAGTGGCATACGCAGGTAACTCTTCCGGCAGCGTAGGTTTACCGTGATGATAATGAGAGAACCATTCACCGAAACCCTCTTGGGCGTCAAGATATGTTTTATAACAAAGGTATTCCCTTATTGATGCCGCCGCTTTCTTGGACAAATTATTGGTTATCGTAAGATTGAGCGTGCAGTCTATAGTCGGATAATCGGTCATAACTGATTCAATCGAATCTGATGGGATCTATACAACATACAGAACAATTACTATTTAACTATATAAAAGCGATCGATTACAGAATTATTTATAAACTGCGCTAAAAATTTTGAAAAAAAATTTATATAATTATTATAATTATTTTCAGTTTTTACCTTGTTAAATGCTTTTCGCGCCGCATCGATCTTTTCGTTAGTCAGGAAGTACCTAATAAGCGCGTTTGTTTGCCGTAATGCTTCTTCTCTCTGACTTTGATAAAAAATCAGCCAATCCAGACCATTAATCTTTTCCATGTCCGCCTCGGTGATGGTCCCTTTTAAGTCCGTTGGGTCAGATTCTATGTTTTTCTTACGTATATTCTCCACTACCAATTTCGTAATCGCTTCTACATTCAAGTTCGCGTCTTCCGCCGCACGCAGACATTTCTTGCGCTGTTCGTGCTCTTTAACACTCTCTAAATATGAGGCATAGTTGGTTATTTGATCCTCCTGAGGTAACGTAGCTGTGTAGAACGCAATCAAAGTCGGATCGCCCATTTCAATAAGGACACGAACGTACGCCAGCAGTACTTTATCTTCTACTTTATCCTTTGTACTTTTCCCGATCTGTCTGAAGAATAGTATTAGATGTGCCAGAAATCTGAGGAACTGCGAGTCGCAAGCGCCGACATCTATCATATTTTCAATCTCTTCCATTAATTTTGGTATTTGATCTAATATTATATATTTTTGAATTAAATGATCGGGTTTGTTAGACTGGGCACGTATTATCGGATTTTTTGACGCGTGCAGCTCTTTGAACGCGTCTTCCAATGAGATTTCATTCTTCCAATATTCTTCTGGCATAATTGTATAAATTTTCACCATCATTAACCTCAGTGCTGATTCGACTTTGATATCTAGAAGGCTCTTTACGTACGCCCACAATGCATCTTGCCATGATGACGCTATCTGTAGTAATAGTTGGATATTGCCACAAAGACTTGCGTATATGGCACGATAGAATACACCTGCATGGAAAATATTTATCTTCTCTATATTTATGAATAAACAACACAGTTAAGTCAACAGGGAGTTTCCTTTAACTCGAGCATTTAGAATAGAATTTAAAATACAATCTGTTGTTTTTAATACAATAAAATATCAAAAGGAAAAATTGTGTCGAAGAAGCAAATATAATAGCAAAAAATATAAGCAAAAAATATTTCTGAAAGTCATATTTTTTGAGAATTCAAGATTATTTTTAAAAATAAAATTATAAAATTAATTTTCTTACACATAATTTTTCTAATTATTCTGTATTTAAAAATATTACAGAGTTATAAAAAAATTATTTGAGATATTTTTTATTTTAGTCTGGCATATTTCAATATAAAATATAAGATATCTCATAACTATTCATTTTTTAACAGTTGTATGTGAATATTTTTATGCACAGAATAATGAAATGAATCAACTGGTATAAAGAAAACATATAATTGCTTTGAAAAAATCATGCAATTAGAAATATAAAATTACGTTCTAAAATTAAAGGAAACAGCCTAAATTATGCATTATAAAAGTTAGAATTGATTAAAAAAGTTAACTTAGGAAATACTATAGAATTAATCTTACAATAAGTAATTTATAATAATGGCGATCTCTTTTTAATACTATTTCAGTAATATTAAATGGATCTTTACCTATGCGTTTATCTTGAGACAATTCCCAAGCACATAATTTCCAAAGACTTCTATTAGGATTTCCTTCGATTGGTAATTTAGTATCTGTTAATAGATTACTATAATTTGGATCGTGATTAGGAATCCATCCTAATAGACATGCGGCTCTCCAAGGTTGACCGCAATGCATGGCTAATGCTTGTGCTTTCTGAAGACGTCCACAACGTACCTATATAATATATATCTTGTTAAATGCAATTATATATTTTTATCCTTTTAAATTTTTATAACTTTATGTTACAAAAGATTTGTTATACGTTTATTACAATTATAAAAATATAGAATTATTTTGATCAAAATAAATTATATGTAATTTTAGTTTAGAAAAATATGTAGCCTATATATACCTCTATAAACATTCTTTTTTCAAGTCTGGCATCATCTTCTCTGTCCAGATCATGTAATGGCTTACCCTCTCGTATTGGTGCATCAGGATCGAGAGATGATACCAGTGGTCTAGATGAACTAAATGCAATTCCTAAATTTTGATTGTGCAACTGATGAACTGTATTTTCCCAAGCTACTGTTTTATCAGTAAATAACTCTATCGATGGATATCTATCTGCTTGATCCAGAGCATTTTTTTCTAGCCAGTCAATAATCAATTGATATTCCCTGATATAGCTTTCTGACTTATACAAATTTTCTATGACATCCTTCTCAGAGATATAATTGCTGTTTACTAATCCATCATGTTCCATTTGCGTAGTTAAGCCAGCACTACTTATGCGATTCTGATAGAGACAATACATCAGTCTCCACGTGTTCCTCTCACTTTCTAAAGAAATTTCTTCTTCTGTTATTTCTGTGTTCTCAACTTTCGACTGCATACCTGTTGGAACAATAATGTTTCATTAAAACTTAATATTTTGTTACAAAAAATGATCAGATCACACAGTACGAAGCTGACACCTTCAGTATCTTTCAATACCTCTCATTATGTCCAGCGTATCGGTACAGTTTTGTATAAAATCCGCGATGGTATCAAAGACCTGCGCCTCTGAGAAATGTGCCTGTACACTCTGTAGAAAGTCATAGTAGAGCTTGGCCTTGGCCTCCCGCCATGGCTCGTTTGCCTTCAGAATCGCTCCGGTCGCTGTGCTGTCTTCCATCATCTCCTTGATGGTGATGTCGTTCCTTTCCGAGCGCACCATAATGTCGCGAATCTCGTGGGGCGCGAGGGTCAGTGAGGTGTCGAGCTCTACATTGTGTAGTTTGCTCAGCCTGGGTCCCGCTGGGCATGCGATCCTATCGAGCATCCCTGGACTGTGCGTGTCGCTGAGTATCTGTTTACATTCATCGGCGTCCCTGCGCGACTGACCAGACGCCTGCAGTGATATCCTTCTCGGAGTAGTGCTCCGCTGGCCGCTTAACCTCAAAAACGATCTCCGCTGGTTGTTTTGCTGACTTAACAGACGAATAGACTGATCGAGGTTCTCCTTGACGTCGGTTAATGAATCCATCTCCTATTTGACACGGAGTGCGATCTAACAGGAAATTTTGGTTAATTAAACGTTGAAAGTACTTGAAAATGGGGTTTTCGTTATGTTGTTCCACCGGTTGGTGAATTTTACGCCTTCAAGCCATCAATCTTCAATCTCCCCTCGAGGAGGGGAATATATGATGAAAGTTGAAAGTGAAAAATTTTTTTTTTCTTTTACTCCACTGGCTGATGGATTATAGCGTCTTCAACTTTGAAAGTAAAAACCGCATGAAAAGGTTACTTTTCGGTTCCTCGAACCTCGACCACAGTATAATCAGTAGGTACACTCAGCCGAGCGAAAAAGTGAGTCTTTGCGCAGGTATCGCCGCGCAATTTTTGTTTTGGATTGGATCCAATGAAATGCAAGACGATAGTAGAGTCCTAGAAAACAGAGATACGACATTGAAGGGTATGGTCTGATTGGCTGTCTAAATCACATGACAAAGCACCAATCAAATGATCAAAGCGCCATTTTAATTCACTATTGCACCTAATGCATCAAGATACAGCTTTGTAAAGTATCTGTCTCTTATACACATCTCTGAGCG